CCACGGTTTCAAAACAACACCTTGTATATTACTCGAGAACTGCTACATCGATTTGAATAAATATTGGTGAGGAGGTAGCTTAGGACCAGGAGACGGGCATTGGATACTTTACATCCAAGGATTTTCTGAAAATCCTGCCGGAACAGAAAGACACGAGACTGCGCATACGAAGTCGCAGGCAGAAGCTACTTAATTCTATAAAGGATCTTAATGAATTTTAAGTAATAAAAAAATTAGGTTTTTTTTTTATTTAACATTGCTAAGAATGAGTAAATTTCTTTCTGTTATCATTTTTTATTTTTATTAAAACTTGTTTTTAATTTGCTTTTATTGTGTCATTCAAACTATTAGATTCTTAACTTACGGAAAAATTGAAATAAAAATCAAAAATTACTGGTATGTGTCATATATTACAACGAAATACACATTATAACATGAAATACATAAAAAATTCGTTCAAACACAACTTCTATAGCATCTTGTACAATTGAAACACACGCTGTTTTTGTACATCGAGTGAGAAATTGTGACGTAATTTAATTCATCTAATTCTTTATTAAAACTATTTACAATTACCTAAAAATAACGTGATATTCACGTAAATATGAAATTCACGCACACTGCTCACGAGGAAGGGTCCCCTTGTGACTCGAAACTAGTCGAGCTTTTCTCAGTATGTTTACGTGAGTAACTTGTAATTTTTAGTTAATTCATCATGTCTCACAATAGTTATTATAAAAACACAACTATATATTTACAATGTTTAATGTGATCATACAACTAAACAAAACATAATCAACTGATTGAAACAATTCTAAAAACTATAATAATTACAACTGAACTGTGCAAAAAGCATGTGCATTAAACATTAACACTGGGTGTTTCATCACAAATTAAACCTATTTTATACATAGAATGTGTCGGTAAACGAGCAGACGGATCACTTGATCAAGTAAACGTAAGCAGTCAGCGCTGCGAATGGACACCCGCAACACCAGAGGACTTACAAGTCCGTTGTTGGTCTTTTAGGAAGAAATGCGCTCTTTTCTTCAACTTTTCGCTGACCGCGCTCTCGGTCATAGGTTTCCCAGATATGCCACACGTACCGACGCCTACTCTCCCGGTCAGATTATCCGGCGACGCGAATATACTCTTTGTCCGGATACCCGGTTTCTTTATAGCTTTGCTATGAAAGTTCAACCACTTGTTCTTCTCGGCTTCTCTGTCTTCTTCATGTTGTTTCATTCTCTGATGTTTCTTCTGCTTCTTCTTCTTGAGGTATTCTTTACTGTGCCCTTTACCATTTCTGTGAAGAAGATAACATTATTTTAGTACATGAGACATATTCCAAGACGTACCTAATGACAAAATACCATAACAAAGAAAAGTAACACTTACTGTTCCACTTGGCAATTGGAAGAAGATGTGTGTGCGTTTCCATCATCAGCCGCCACCACGGACGCAACATCATGATCATTACTAGAACCATGAATATTAGTCACTTCGGAGTCATCGGCTGGAGTTTCTATATCTTCTTCTGTCAGCTCTATTAGTTCTTCTAAATCAGCCTTCAATTTCAGCAACTCTTCGTTGTCAGCATCTCCTAGTAATGCTCCTTCCACCTATGAATAAAATGTACAATTATAGACCCCATCAATGAACGGAGCATAAAATAAATTGAAATTAAAAACAAACTTTTATAGAGCTAAGCATTAGTGGTCATGCATACTAAACGCGTATAAAAAATTTCAGCTCAATCGGTTGAAGATATCTGTTTCAATATTCAGTTGCAAGATTCCACTTCACAGACACACATACATTGCAAGTGATATAAAATCTTGTTACAATAGTACCACGGCACCAACCTGTTGAAGCTGCAGTTTGTAATTTCTTAAATGGTCTGCCATATTGGAAATATACTCTGTGATATCAGAAAGTAAGGAGGAAAACATTTCACAATAAACACAAGCGCTATTGCTGACGCTACCGCTCGATACACTCGACGACTGACAAATGACTGTTGTTGACTATTTTATAGCGCAGTGCGACTGTTTCAGTGTTACCAACACGCAAAAAAATTCTGTCTTTAACAAATTCACATATACGTAAAACCTACGTACCTGAATAATAACAAAAGCAATTGTCCTTTCCCTGAATTATGAGAGAAACCTCTCAATAATTGGCAACAATAGTTGTGTACTTCATTCATTGTGTTGTTCCGGCTACGACAGAATCGTTGAGTTTGAAATTCTAAGCAATATGGTCATCAATGAAGGAAGATCATATAAATTAGGTACATACATACTTCCTTGTCGTGGTGGCCCGGAGGTTTAAGACGCCCGCTTCTCATGCATGAAAAGCCGGCGTCCTAAACCGCCAGACAACAACGACTCTCAATGTTTAGTCAAGTACAATATAGTGAGTATTTTTCTAAAAAATTACCAAATTATTAATTGATTAAGAAATACCACATTACATGAGACTGGGACCACCGCATCGCTTACCTACACACGGAGGTATATTCTCGGAAATTATGTATTGTCCCACGAGGAGCAGAACAAAGAAACAATGAATATACAGGTACATCTAGGTGAGTAAATAAATCACACAGTATTTTGCTTCATTTGTCATTCATTCTTTTACTACTTACATGTGGTATTTGTTATTTAATATCATTCATCATTTAGTTAGACCGCCATCGAAGCCAATAGGAATTCGATAAAAAGTAATTAGATACATTTTTCGAAATGTCGCAAACTATGAGTTTCATACGAGTTTGAAATTCCAATGTGATGACGTCATCATTGTCCTACACCTTCATTGTAACAATGTTGCTAGGTTCACGTATCTAATTACTTTTACCGAAGACCTATTGTCATCGGTGGTTGTCGAAAGTAATCTGTTTACAAAGGTAACCAAAGGACGATGAGTGAGACAATGCTATGTCGTAATATTCACAAGAAAAAGTAATAAATAAATAATAACACGAGTGCTTAGTTCATCACAGGTAGGACATATCGAAACGTGGTCTTTTTAACTGCATTATTATTATTAACTAGCTACTTCCGCGCGGTTTCACTCGCTCTGCTCGGCGCCTATTAATCGTAGCGTGATATTTTATAGCCTACCTCAATAAATGGGCTATCCAACACAGAAATAATTTTTCAAATCAGATCAGTAGTTTCAAAACAAACTCTTCAGCTTTATAATATTAGTATAGATATACACGGTTTGTTTCAGATTCTACAAGGTCGAGATTGAATTTTGCGTTCATAATAATATACCCCCGAAGGGTGTGATGGGCGGACTGCTCGTATTGCAATTCCGCTATCGAACATTGACACCATGATGAATCCACAAGTTTAAAGAAGAACAATTTGATTTTATAGTTTCCATGGCCTGTGAGAACTTTGGCAATACAGTGATCCACCTCCAACCGTGCCATCTCCAGCCACAGATGCACGGATGGAATGAACTAACTGTTATTGTATGAAATTTGAAACACATTTGGATAGATTTTGTAGATCGTAATACCATATTGAGTATTATTGTAATGCTTATTCAATTGAACCCCTTTGAAGAATAGGTTAAAATATGGCTAGACCTGTCTTTCTATGTGGATTCGGGTGCTGAGTCATGAGAAAGGCGGGTGAAAGAAGTTTGCCTACAGCAGAGATGAGAATGCTGCGATGGATATGTGGCGTGATGAGACTAGACAATATAATACACGGTTATGTTGTAGAAGCTTAAGAGTAGCGCTCTCTAGTGGGGCCTAACTATGGGAATCTGTACATCCAAACGTCGCAAACTTAATGTTAGCATATATTCTGTCTGGATATAGAACTGAATGGTTCAATATCTTGATTTTTATTGCATTGATGAGTGAAAAACAATATAATCTTGTTTATAATTATGGTCAACTTATCTGTATGCACCTTTTTAACAAATCGTTCTATTTTCTAACAATGTATGACAAAAAGAGATAGCAACGTTAGATACACAACCACTTTTACGTTAGATAAGGACAAAATATACATTAGAGAAACGTGAGAAAGCAATACCTGCACAAAATGTATGCGTTAGAAAGAGATAGCGCGCGTATTGTCTTACTTCTCCCCACCAGGCATTATGTCGTCGATACAATACAAGTTTTAGGCTAGCAGCTAGTAGATACCACGTTACTTCGCCAGTTGCTCCTGTGACATCGCACTGTACAGTCGACGTGTCCCAAGTCTGCATTATTACTATTGTAAATAATTTCGCTTCAATTTAAAAAACATGGGCATCGAGCATTTTATTTGGAGTGAAGAAGTGGAGATGTCGACCGAAATGGACGAACAACCAGAGACTGGTAGAGACTACGTAGAGCCTGAATTAGAGACTTCAGAAATGTCGGAAACTGAATCTTCAGTGGACGAGGAAGACGGTGCCTTAAAGGACTTGCTCAGAGTCGATGAACAATATGTTCCCCTGTTGACCTTGGTATGTAATATTATATTTTCTTAACTTATTTTAATATGAGAAACACAACTGAGTTTATTATTGTTCATTTACTGACTTACCTTTTCTTACAGCTAGAACAGTTTTCCCCTGGAGAAGATGGCATCCAATTCAACAGAAAGTTGAGACACTTTGAGACCACTTTCTCATCCTTGTGTCCGGACGACTCGCGCATGCAGTAAGTACTTACCTATTCATTTTCAAATTATATCTTCTCTATGTGTTCACATGTTGACTAGGTTTTCGGTTAGTTTTGAAAAATTTGTAATGGGGCTTATGTCACCATTTAGTTATGTAAATTTGAATGCGACATAGGTTACTGTAATTGAGACCATCGTTAAAAGATTTTGAACTAAAGAGGTTTGAAAATGTTATTAATTTATTTACCTTTATATAGGCAAGCGTTTGCAACGTTCCGCGCTGCGGCCCTGCTGAACCCGGCGATGGCGCGCAAGCTGGCTGCAGTGGGCAGCTGCTTTAAGAGTCAACTTCAGCTGCGCCGAACCTTCCTGAACGTAGTGCTGCAGGAAACCTTTGCTAGTAAGTATTATGGACCTATGAACGATATTATCATAATGCATGTTTGTTAGTGTCAAAACACCTCTGCTTGCTCTGCACTAGGATTGTCTCCTGTGTCGGTTCCCATTTCTAACAATACTTTCATCTCCATTAACAGAACTGGATGTGCTGGAGCGCTCCAACCCAAAGTACCTGGTGAATGCAACGTCACTGATGGGTGATTACTTCGCGAGGGCCCGCCTCAGCGACGGCCAGAAAGTAATATTCCTTGCCGAGCCACTG